TTAATATAATTAGAAAAGCCAATACTTGATCTTCTCCAGCATTTTAATTCGGTAACTCGGCGAGCTGGTTCTTGAGCCGATATATATAATCCCAAATAAAGCCACAGAATCCAAGTGTTAGGAGCTCAGGCAGGTTTTAGACAGACGGAAATCCCTTTCTTGAATAGTTTTTCTTCAGAGTTAATTATTAAATACCTCTTTCTAGCAGTGGCTGTTATTCTAGCAGCAAACTTTTCTCACAGTCTGGTTAATGGCATTACTCAACCTGTAACAATGCCGACTCTGTATCTGAGGTATTCCCACAGGTACATTTTTAACTCATCTGACAATAGCAGTCTGGAGGACTTCTCCCTGCAGGCAACAGGACTGTTATTGTGCAAATGAATGTTTATATAAAAATAGATTGTTCTTATCATGACTCGGAGCCAGTCACCCTTGAATTTGAAACCTTGCTCTGGATTGAGTCTTGTTGGCCTTGAACAAGACACTTGATGCATGTGCCTCAGCTGGATTTTAGAGAGAGGAGAACCAATCACTATTGTGATTAGTCCCAAATGACCACTCATGTAAGACCCCAGCCTACGTTCACCTCGTGACAAAACCAAGATCTCACAGGTCAGGTAAGGAAGGATTGCATCCTTTAATGTCCTTTATTGTGATTTCCCTCTGTATTAGAGGTGCATTTCCTTCTGTCTTGCCATATGTTAGTCTTGCCCACTGCAGAATCCCTGGAGAAGCCTTTGCCACAGCTGCAGCGTTGTTCTGTGGGATCTCTGTGCACGTGGTTGTTCGTTTTTGGTGGTTATCAGATCCATATTGACTGTTGGGTTTGCTCCAGGCAAACTGGACAAACACACCTGTACTTGCTGTATTTGCTGGTGCTGGTGTAGGATATGGTAGGGAGGGGACTTTATATGGGATGTAGCTTTTAAAATAGATGTTTGTGTGTGTGTATATATCATTATGTTCCATATTTACCAATATGAAACTAGATAGGAGGGTTTATTACTTTGCAGGATGAACATAATTGCACATAGCCATAATTAAGTTGATGATAAAATTTCTGTAGTAGGCAAGTGCATTGTGTATCTTATAATACATCTATGTTTCATGAAGATACTCCATCCAATGTGTGTCCATATCAATGATATTTTAAACCCTGTAGTAAATATTAAGTTTATAATATTTAAGATAGTTAAAAATACATTTAAATAGATATATATTTAATAAATTATTTTCATATGATGTTTGACAACCATAAGGCTCCAAAAAATGGATCAATCTGTCACTGCTCTTGCTTTTTTCCACTGCCAGTTTGCACTCACTGGAGCACACCATTCCAATAGAGTGAGCGAGCTCTGGGAGTTGAATTTCTTGCCTTTTGGTAACCTGTGCACTGTTTTAATTCCAGTCTTTTATAATACACTCTTAGTCTTTTTTTTTCCTTTCTTTTTTCTTTTAAGAAAAAAGCAGTTAGGTGGTCACGCTACTTGCCCATGTTTTTTTATTTATTTTATTCATAAACTGTTTTAAACTTTCCTTAATGGTAGGGTGGTAAAAAATGGCAGGATAAGAAGTTCCTGCAGATTTTGTGAAAGTTGCTGGCTGGATAGAGAAAAAAAAAAAATCTAAAAATAGCATCTGTGAGGGGATGGTAGGAATCTGAGCTCAAATTCTTTCATCTGGCCTGTTGGCCTGAATAACATAACCCAGCGATAGCCATGGGGGCAGAGTAAACTCCCCGGTGCTCCTGCAGAGCTAAAGGGCAAGGTGCTGAGGGAAAAGGACAACAATAAGGGTAAGCATGTAGCCATCCTTTTATTCTTGCATCTTCCAGATGTTTTATGATCTTCCTGAGTCAGAAGTGGTGTTTTCCCAGGCAGAGCTCATCCTTGCTTTGTTCAGCCAGTGGTTGTGGGATATGCAGGGACCAGGGAAGGAGAACACCTGGGGCTGGGATACACGGGCACCTCAAGGTACCAGAGTCGAAAATGCAGACAGAGGATGTGAGATGGAGCAAAAACTGTTGTGGTGGTGGTTTTTATTATGAATTTACTTCCAAGATCATTGGAAATCTGTTTTTATTCATTTACAGAGAAACTTCTTTTCACTCAGCACTTCTCTATACTGAAAGCAGCCACTGATGTACCACATTGCTATAAAATACAACCAGCTTAACTATAGGAAATGTATTATCTGTAGCATTTTTAAGAAAATTAAAGAAGACATTCCAGACAATCATGTCAGCAAAACCTAATCTATATTTTGTCTATATAACATCCTTTTGAACCAATGAATTGCCAGTTGGGAATTAGGAACCTAGAGTGCTATATTTTCTTACGCTGTACAAGCCTGGATAAGCCAGGCAACCTGCCTTACTTTTCCTGACATAATAGTTTTCATTGTGGAAAAGTCTTTGGAATATCACTGGGACAAAATGGAAACAGTTCCTAAAAGATACCAACTTCCCTGTGGGAGCCATGGTAGTGAGCACCTCTGGTTAACAAATGGTGGTCTCTTCCTTTTCCACACAATTTAAGAGCCCAACACCCAAATTGCCCCAAGATGTCTGTAGATTCAGGGAGATGTGCTGGACCTCTCCTCCCTGCCAGGATCTGTGCTACATTGGGACCTGTACTGGTTTAGTTTCTCCAGTGCTTAGTGTCTTGTTTAAAAAAGGCAATTAAGTGATCTCCTCCTCCATAGCACTGGTTCTGTTCTTTATGCCACTGTAGACACAGTCTTTCATTATCCTTTCCATGGTTACTTATGTATTTTTTTTATTTTTATCTGTATTCCAGAAAATTAGGTGCTTTGTGCTTTGTTGATGAGTCTCCAAGGTGTTCTTTGTCCTACTATTTATTAAACTTGAATGTTTGATACCTGGGTATTGGTTCTTGAGCTAGTGATTTCCCTTTGTTATTCCATAATGAGATATTTCAGTGTAGTTTTTGCATGAAAATCCAATTGCTAAAAACCTTAGGAAGTTTTTTTCTTAATTCTTCATTTGTATACTGTATAATTGCAGTTCACTACTCTCTGTCAGAGAAGTTGAATCCGTTGCCCTGGAATATTTTGAACTCTCAAATGGCTTTAGGGAGAGACAAACCATGTGATGGTCTTAATGACTTTTTTTCTCACACTCCCTGACCTGTCCCTCTTACACACCTAAATACTGTGTATCAACCTACTACATTTTGGCTTCATGTGATGTAGCATTGGTAGATAAATAAGGAAGCCATTGAAATGTTTATGCTTTTTATTGAATTAAGGTGCTTTGGAGAGTAGCATTAATCTACAGTTCAGTGAAGCAGTAAGAAAATGAAATACTCCCTCAAGAGTTTTCTTTTGCAAATAGAGCCTTGCTTTAAGCTGCTGTGAACTGGCATGCTTTCAGATTGTTGAATGCTTTTTTTTTGGTCTTCATTAGTAATTATAGCTGAGGGTAATAACACTGGAATTGTCCTTCATCAGGAGTAACAATAAGACTCGATGATGTGGGTATGTGATGTGCTTTGGAAATGTTTGTCCTTGACCTCAAGCTTTAGGTCTGCCTCACCACTGCCTGTCCTCTGGTGTAAATGTTGGCTCCAACATATGGTCACCTTAAAACGGTAAATTAGAGCAGTAGCCTTTTATGCCAGCTTGGTAATCATTGCGGTATAAATGACCGGATGGCACAGAGGAATGAGGAATCTGGTTGCAATATTTAGTTGGCTCAAACTAAACTGTGAAACACAATGGTAAAAAATGTTCACTTAGTCCCTGCTGTTGTTTGACTGTTTTTACTTTGGAAGATCTGACTGTGGGACCATTATTGAAAACTTAGATTTGGATTTCTCAGTACATTCACCTGGTATAAGAGTGACCTTGTCAAAGTCACTTGACCCTCCTGTGCTTTACTTTTGCTTTAAGGTCTTTGGTTTTTTTATGTGGTCTGACAGTGGAATTGCTTGTTATGTTGGTTTTTGTTTTTTTCTTTTGACTGAGAATTTTTTAAAAAATTAAAAAGCAAAGAAGTTGTCTTGGGAGGTTTCTCATGGAAAATAATGTTTACATATTTCTGGCCTCTGAAAACTGGAAGAGTATCTAGTTACCAAGCACTGCAAAGTTTATGGTGAGCTTTTCAGTTTTTCCCAGTATAAATTTTTTCCTGTTTTTCCATAGAATAATAATTTTCATTTCCTGAAGAAGCTTTTAGTTTGTGTTTTGCTGCTGTCATGGAAAAACGTAGAAGGAAAATGTTCTACTGTTATTACTGTGAGGCCTCTGAATACAAATGTCCTTACTTTGGAATAATTGTTGCTTTCATTTAGCCTAATCTATACCACAGATTAAAAATGTTTCTAAAATCTATATTGTATGTATACATGGTATGTATAATAGATTTTGGTAGTGTTGATATTAAAGGATGTTGTAGGAGCCACAAACCACAAAGCAGCATCTGCATCTGTGTGGCTCCCTATAGTATTTAATTTTTTGGTTGATTCTGCTATTTGAAAAGACTGTCTTTTATTAAAGCCTGACCTGTACAGTTTTTCAATGTACAAGATGATGGTAGTTTGGCACCTATATTAATTTTCTGAAATGCCTTTTTACATGGGGAGAAGTAGGCTTCAAAGCCAGATCTAGTTCTAAGTACATTTTACAACAGTACTGTTTAGCAGAGAACCTGGTAATTATGCTGGGATTTTCAGGATCCTTTGGGAGGTTGGGTGTGCCTGGGAAGAAAAGTTATTTTCCCTTTTATTACTCTTTTTCTTTCTCTCGTCCTTCTTTCTCTTCTATAGTAAATTATTAGCCAGTTTTATTTCCATTACACTCTGCCTACCCACTTAAATTACAGGAGGAAATAAAAGGAGGATAAAACATTTAACTTTGTTGTTAAATGCATGTTACTTCCAAGAAAACAAAACTTGTAGCTGATTAATTGTTAAGACTTTAAGTATAACTTATCTTTTTCTCTTCCTCCTTTGTATTGGCAGGATAAACACTTGAACATGCCTCGTAGCCCAACATCAAGCGAAGATGAAATGGCACAAAGCTTTTCCGACTATTCTGTTGAATCTGAATCAGACAGCTCCAAAGAAGAAACTATTTATGACACAATTAGAGCAACTGCAGAAAAGCCAAGCAGCAGAATGGAAGACAGTCAGAGCAACACATTAGTGATTCGAATCATAATACCTGATCTGCAGCAAACGGTAAGGAATATTGCATTGCAAGTAAAAAAACAAACAAACAAAAAAATGAAGTTAAATGATCAGCTTTCCTGGCTTGAATATGTGGTAGATCTGTTCTATTTTCTTACAATCTTTTAACAAATTAGAGGCAAAATTTATACTCTGGTTTTTTTTTTTATTATCTACACTTTTTACCTCAGTTGTATGTCTGACTGCCTTAATTAAAGGCACCATCATATCCAAGAGAGTGTATTTAGTATGTTAACTTGATGAAAGCTGTGATCATAAAGCGAAATACCTCTCTGATCTGCATTCTGGGTGTTTGGGGAGAGGAAAAAGAATCAGGCATCTAAGATCTCATCAGAAGATGAGGGATGAACCCCCAAAATCACATGTTGTCTCTACAAAAGCCTCATACATCTATAACCTTGTTGTCTTCTCTGGTTTCTCTTTTCATGAGATAGTTTGTGATTGGGATCTAGCAGGAGGTTATCAAATTCTCTCCCTCTCTCTTTACCATATTAGTTGCCTTTCTCTGTCATCCTCTGACAAAAAGATATCCTTGTTAGATAGCTGGTGGCTTTTAGAGAATAAAGATGAGGAAACAGAAGCACAAATAAATCTTTCTTTCTTCCTTTGCTGCTCTGCCTTTACTAATCGTTGTTGTTCCTCAGACTTCCACCCAGAAAAATCAACACACTGGGTTTGGAGGAAGAGTAAAGCGTGGCATCATACTGTTCCATGGTTTTTACAATGACATGAAATTGCTGTTTTATTTTCTCTCACCTCCTCACCACTTATACTGGAAACATACCAGAGAGGATAAACCAAACTTTTTCTGATTTTCCTAGAGGAGTTATTTGCAAGCTAACTTGTGGAGCTATGGTTATGTTGCACATCCCTAAATCTGTTGGATGAAAATAGAGACTTTTCAAGAAAAGATTTAATCTCTCACATCTTACAGAAAGAATTGAACAGACTTCTCATTTATTAAAAAAAATCCGATTAATTGAGTAAATGAGAATAAATGCTATGTTTTTTAAATTGAAAAATTAAATTTAATTTAAAAAAAAAATTGGCTGTTTTGTATGTATTGGAATTAATCCACAGTCCAAATTCCTCACTCTTTCTCACAAGGAACTGCTAAGATGCATTTCTTTTATGGTTGAGTTTATAAAATTCAGTGTCTGGAATGTTAGGAGTATAAAGTGGGGAAAGTTTGGTGTTGTAACTTTGTAAGTAAAAGAATGATTGTCCTCCACAAGTGCTACGATAGGAATAACAATCTCATCCTGGAGAAGGTCTTGGTACTTACTGATCCTATCTAGAACCACAACCTGTCCAAGTTTGTGATTAATTACCTAAATTACCCTCGGCCTCCTTGAATGTGTTGTCGGGATTTTCAATTGATGGTAGACATCAGACTTTTTTCATTTCAAAGATGATTATAAAAACACATTCTTTTTATGGATGCGTGCTACATACATCACTCTGTGCTGACATTTAAGATCTACATCATACTGTGCTGCCATTGAAGATCTATCTCGGATGAAATTAATCCTTTCCTTTTAATTAACTTCATTTTTAGAATGATAGAGATGACCTGTCTACAGGCTGACAGGGAAGAGCTGTTTTGACAATGTGGCCTCAGGTGTGGTTATAGAGCTCTTTTTTTTTAAAGCCCAATCTGCACAGTGCTACAGAAACTCAGAGAAATCTCTATTGGAGTTGGGAGCATTATCTTTTAAATTCTTGTACTTCAAAAGTTCTTCTAGATGAGGATGGCTGCTGAAATTACAGTACCACTCCATTAGTTTATACGGTGTTAAGTCCTCTTATTTCATGACTCTATTTTTTTACACCAATAATATTTATTGACACTATTGAAACAATTATTTTTTAAAAAAATCATTTTGTGCAGGAAATTAAATAAACCAAAAAAGGAATTTTGGTTTTGTGTTTCATTTGTTCATTGTTATTGTTTTACTTTTTACTTTTTTTTCCTTTTCAATGAACTCTTAATGAAAAGTAACTCAATTGTTTTGAACAATTCCATAGCAGATGATCTGTTTATGATTTAACTTATCAGCCCACAAGCTCCTGTACCGTAAAGTGAAATCTGAATTCAAGGTTGCAAACAGGAAGAATGACAGCTTAAATATAGTGTAGCGAAGTTTGGAGAAGATCATAGTTCATGAGCTGTGTTATAGCTACAAGGCAAATTCAACATACACCCCATTTGCTGTATAATTATAATTAATTTAACATAAGAGGTGTTTAAAATTAGTCTGTTTAATCAAAGGAGCATGAAGTGACGTAATTTAGTTTAGTTTAGCAACAGCTTAAGTTGTAGCTACTTTTTGGTTTTCCACTTCTGCATTGCTTTTTATACTTTCGTATCCTTTCTTTACTTTTTCCAGTATTCATTGGCCTTTAGAATTAAGAATCTTTCCCTTTAATGCTTTTCTTTCTTAGATAAAATACTGAGTTTGTGCAATTTTTGTCTTAGGAAGGTAGGAACCCAGTTGTCAAACTGCAGCTTGAGTCACATTTTTTCTTAAGATGCCTTCATTTTTACTTTTTTTCCATTCTGTGCTGCCATCCGCTGCCTCGGATCTGTTCCACGTTTTCCTTTGCAGCTTTTCACAAGTATTCTTCTGTATCCTATTTTGTGTCTGCTTGTTCACTGCTGCTTTCTGTTTATAATTGATCTTCCCTTTTATCTTCAGTTTGATGATGGAACCATTGTGGGTGCTGCTGATATCTACTCTTATGCCCTTGATCTGGACAGGTGATCTGATTTGCCAGCTGAAGGCACTGTGGCCAGATGGGGTTTTTTGACCTTTCATCTCATGAATCCTGTGTTTTCTGAATGCATTTTGAGGAGGAAAAGCAGTGCCTCCAAGAACTAAGTTGTACACCAAGCACAAATCAAAATGAGTGACTTGCTCCATTTTTTTTTCATGGTACCCAACTCTCATTTGAATTCACTTTTTGGTTGTCACATCTTTAATATTGACAACTCCTATTGAGGGGAATAACTTGTGTTTTGATATTCTGACAATCACATTTTGAAGGCAGCTGTACAAACCGTTTGTCATGGTTCCTCTGTCGCGGCGCGGTTCTGTGTGGTTGACAACTTCACGATTCTGATGAAATAGATGTGTTGGTTCATAGATTTTGAATGGATAAATGTTATTCCTCAGAGATTCTGTAACATGAACATTATTTCTATTGAATGAATATCTTCCCTTTAGCTGGAGTGGGGGAGCTACGTTCCCTTCCTTCCAGTCCTTCTATTGCGCTTAGTGACTTACTGTCACCAGTGTGCAGGAGTGCAACATTATAATTGACCAAGTCTATCATGATCCAAAGAGCTTTAATATCAAAAGTACAGCTTTCACATTTCAGCACCAACGCTGACGTGCTGACTTGCTTCTAGACTTGGATTTTGAGTGGTCTCGTGTGGTTTTGGCAGTGGTTTTTGAGCCACTCAGGGCTTCATTTTTATTTCTTATTTGAAAGAACTCTTGCAATTTTATAGTCTGCATAGCTAGACTTCAGGACAAACTATCACATTTTATCTGGTCCTCAGATGCAACAGAAAGGGTGGTAAGAACAGATCCCATATCTGTCAATGCAAAGTATGTTTTATGTTTCATCTGTGTTTCTGTAGTTTTTTGCTACTAAACTATCCCTATATTGTGGGGTGAGTCAGCAGCACCGTACATTCATAACGCACACCAGCGGCAACAGAGGGGTTTCTAGGCATTGCCATCTGCTGGTAGCTCATAGCCCATGAGAACAATGTAAGCTACAACTGTGAAATTCCTAAATTTCTTAAATTCCAGCTTGGTAAGAACCAGAGAACTGGAAAGGATTTTCAAGGTTTTCAAGTCTTCTGCTGCATTACGTTGTATAGTTCCTTCCATAAATTTACCCTGAGATAGATGTAGATTAAAATGAATTAGAATCCTATTCTATGATTCTTGCCTGAATACTGTTTTTTTTTTTTTTGTTTGTTTGTTTCTTTGGGTTTTTTTGGTGAAATTATTGTAGATCAGACTGATTAAAAGAACCATCTAGAATCAAGTGGATGATTAAATATCTTGTAACATCTCTTTCACTTGGCATTTCAAACAGGTTTGCCAGGAAGTTGTTCTTTCTCTGAGGAAGGATATGGTCTCTGATGTTTGTGGAAGGACTTGAGTTGTCCTGTGTTTTCACAGTACTTGTGTATTAGTTATTATAGAGAAATGCACATCTGAAATACAATTCTATTGATGTATGTTTTGTCATGGAATTTGTAAGTTTATTATGTATGTTTATATATATTTATGACATTTGTTAAGTTTTAGAATGTTGGTTTAAATGTTGGTGTTGTTTTTTTTTTTCATTAATTAGATTTTAAAATATTTTGTCTTTGCAGAAATGCATTAGATTTAACCCAGAAGCTTCAGTGTGGGTTGCAAAGCAGCGAATTTTGTGCACTTTGAATCAGAGTTTGAAAGATGTCCTGAATTATGGACTGTTCCAGCCTGCAAGCAATGGTAGAGATGGGAAGTTTTTGGATGAGGAACGACTTCTTAGGGAATACCCACAGCCAGTGAATAAAGGAGTTCCTTCACTTGAGGTATCTTTAGATCTAATTTTAGATCTGAAACATTTGTATTCTGATACAAATTATACAGTAAGCTTTGTTTGAGACTTCTACGTGCTTCTGAATTGCATTTGGGAAATGGGGATCAGTAAGTCTGAACTTGAACCCTTGCTCACAGAATTGCTGGCATTCACTTGCTCGATGGAGCTGTTCCGTGGGTTATCCCTGAAAGGTTGCAAAGAATCAGTCCCCCTGGGGAATTTGGAGTTTTCCTCTTCTGAGGGCCCAGGTGATGTGTCTTACTGTGTGATTTAATAAAGAAATTTTAACGTTCTAGACTGAGCTTTTGGGTCTCTGATTAGGTTTGCAATAGTAGGGTAGCAGTTCCTGAATAACCAGCCTTTCCTTTCTCCCAAAGAGAGGGTCTTTCTGTCTCAGTGAAGCCTTTTTGTCATTCAGAGTGCCCAGATTTCCTCTGGCTGTCTCCTGGGAAAGCAGTAAGGGAGGAAAGGGTGTGTGAGATGCAGTCACATGTAGGCACTGGAATTTCCCTCCTCTGCATTGCTCATGCAGAGACTGTACAGCTGAGGGATAAACTGGGCAGAACTAGTGTGGCACTGGGCGAACATGGAGCAGAGCCAGAACACACTGAAGCACAGTATAGCAGGGAACTGGGGCATGAAACTAGTATTTAATTAATTTTTATATTGCTTGTATGGTGGTACATCAAGCACTAATGTGAAGTTAACAGACTTACTCCACTATAGCACAAATCCAAGAAAAAAGAACCAGGATCCAGAGAAGGTATCAAGCCCTGGCTTTTCTAGCAGTTTATTGCAGAGATTCAATCACTGGTGTGCATGTTATAGCCATAAACAAATTAAATAACTACTTCATTTTTTTCCTGTTACATTCTTTTTAATGAGTGTTCAGTTTGTGAAATTCTTCTCACTGCAGCTAAAGGATTGCAGTTCAGGGGTTAAAAGTGGTCTGTAAAAAGCTGGTATTAAAGCCTCGTTCAATACAGTCTCCATGTCCAACAGACATGCTGCATTCTTTGAATTCTGTGTAGTATGATTAGATACTAGTAAATTATAACTATGTAAATCCCATGAATTTTGCCATAGATGTTGTAACTCTGACCATAGGGTAGCAAATTGTTCAGGGTAAAATGTGAGTGAGTTTCAGCCAAAAAAAGAGGCAATCCTCTGAGCCTCATTTACAGGACCAGTCCTGTTAAACATCAGGAGGACTATCACCCTGAGTAAGTTCTGCCTATTTTGATCAAGGAACTTTTCAGGATTTTTTTTTTTTTAAATCTCAGAAATGCTAAGCTGGTATTTTGAAAGATGTGGGGTTTTATTTAACATGCCTTCTTCACAGTTGTTCTTTCTGCATGAGATTATAAAGGAAAGTGCACAGGTCTCCTTAGGGATGTAATTCTTGCTTATTTATGTAGATTCTAGAGGCCGATCTCATTTCCCATACACCTCCACTGATTTCAGTACATTTATTTATACAAGACATGAATTGTGCTTACATGAACTGTAAAGCTATGATGCCACTACGTTGAGCAGAGTGCTGATTGTTGGTGAATATTCAAAATTCAATACTAAGCCTTTTTAAAAATTTTGCCTAAATCTGCATCTTCGTGGATGATACTTTCTGGTAAGGTCAGAAAATTATATTACGAGTTTTTAAGCAAAATGGGACATTTTCAATTTATTCTTTTTTTCCTCCTTCAGTTTCGATACAAGAAAAGAGTGTACAAACAGTTCAATCTCGATGAAAAACAGCTAGCCAAGCTTCATACAAAGGTATGCCCAACTTACTGGACAATTTAGCAATTGCTGACTTAGCAAAGCAATGTGTCTGAGAAGCTGGAAATAAGTGGGAGTTTGTTACCAACTGGGCCAGTTCCTGAGCAACAAAGAGTACATGCTTCCAGCACCAAGAGGAATGTGTGTATTGTGGTCTGGGAATTTCTCTCATAGAAAAATTCCCATGATTGACTCTTCCACATGTTATACAAGTATTTTTAAATGAAACTTACTCGTAAATACAACATGCTTTTTGACATGCTGCAAAAATACTGATCTGTGTCTTTAGACTTGTTTGCAGGTCAGAATAATAATAGTAATAATAATAATCACCATACAATATCCTAATTTCTTACTGAATGAATCTTTCAGTAATTTTTTCCTTAAAACTATGAAAACCAGAATCTTCTTTCAGTGCTTGACTGCTGAACATGATAAATCGTAAGGTTTACACTCTCAGTATAAAGTCAGCTTCTCCAGGAATGTGAATTAGCTGCTGTTCAATGATGTCAATGGATATTGACATCACTTGATGGAATATTTCACTTTTAGTCAAAAATTTCCTTTTAAAATTAGAGGGTGATTCATGTGTGTCTCTTTTTTTCAGGCTAATTTGAGAAAATTTATGGATCATGTTCACCATCTTGCAGTGGAAAAAATCACAAAGATGTTGGACCGAGGACTGGACCCAAACTATCATGACCTAGAAAGTGGAGGTCAGAACAATAAAACTAGCAACATAAAGTAGTACCATGAACAGGCTGTATCTCTCACATTCTTTCTGTTGCCTTTATAACTCTAGACTAATGGAATCTGTATGATTTTGCTGTCCAAAGAAGAAAATTGTTAATTTATTATTTTCTTTGAGCAGCATTTTTAATTTAATATTTTTAAAGCACATGTTCTTTATTTTATGAGTTTACTCGTCTTTTTTCAAGTACATGCTATTCTTTTCTTTAGAAACACCCCTAACTTTGGCAGTTCAGCTGGACAATACAGTAGAAGTGATAAAAGCTCTGAAAAATGGAGGAGCACATTTAGATTTCAGAGCCAAAGATGGAATGACAGCTGTGCACAAAGCAGCCAGAGCCAAGAACCAAGTAACCCTCAAGGTAAATGCTCTCAGTAGCAAATTATGCATTATTTTATAGAAACAATATATAACAGGATGCTTTCAGTTAATTACTGTACTGTCCCCAGTTGATCCTTTAATATGTGCTTGTTCTGGTGCTTTCTTGTGGCTTTCAAATCTTAGGATTTGCTTTTAAGAAAGAGCCTTTTGATTTCTAATTTTTTTTTTTGGTAGGAAGAAAAAGTGGTGAAATTTAACCTTATTCCTTTGTTGTGCTGGGAAAGATCTGTGTGAGGAAGTAGGAATAGAGTTATTGTTGCTTATGTCTTTGAAAGTAAATGCCAGTGGCATGGATTACACATTATATCTTAACACAGTCTCTTCTGTTTTTTATTTTAACAGGTATTCTTAAATCACTTTGATATTTTAGATTAAGTCTTATGTTTATGGCTTTTGCTTATTTCCTTTTGACAGATATTCAAATTGCACGACACTTTTGATAAAGCACTTTGTAACTGAAGAGGTGAATATGTTGCAAAAGCGATGTGGCATTTTCAAAACTGAGATTTCTGAACTTAATGAGAGGATGGAAATTGGACATTGCCTCTTATCCTTTCCTTGCTATCCCTGTAGATTCCTTTAGATCCTAATTCTTCTGAGAGTATTCCTTGCTTAGCTACATGCTGCAACCCATTCTATCAGCTTATAAAGAAGTGAGGAAAAAATATATGTTATTGGCAAATACCAACCCTGTAACTACTTTTTCAGGCAGAAAAGTCCTTATGTAGTTAGAAGTCCCTCCAAAAATGTTTTTCAGAGTTTGTGATTCCTTTCAGACCCTTTTAGAGCTTGGAGCATCTCCTAACTACAAAGACAGCTGTGGCCTGACACCACTGTACCACACTGCTGTTGTGGGAGGGGATCCCTACTGCTGTGAACTGCTTCTTCACGAGCACGCTACAGTCAGTTGCAAAGATGAAAATGGATGGCAAGAAATTCATCAGGTAGGAAAGGTGACTTTTTGTTTGGAGTTGAGGTTGCATGAGGAAATGTGCCATCCATGTTCTATGGTTAAATGCTCTTTTGAAGGCCGTTTGTATGTTTAGTCCATGCATATACAAGTATGGAGTTACTTCCTTTTTCTATTAGCTTAGTACTTTGCATCCGGCTGTGGTGAATTAGAAGGGGAAACTGTTCCAGTGGAGTTCTGTAACTCTGAAATCCTATGGTTACTGTGGATTTTGCTGCAGAAATTGCACTAGGAATATTTATGTAATAGACTCTAGGATGCTTAGCATCCTATTCGTGGCACTTCAGTAAAAAAGTGTAACAGTCTTTTTGTTAGATGCCAGTTTTAGTAACCTTGGTAATGCTTCTTGCATGTTTGTCAGGGGTATTTTCTCCTTTATCTCTGGTGAACTTTAAAGGAAGATTTGGCTTCAGGATCCTGCTGCTAGGATCCTTCAGTATGTTGCACTGAAGAATGTTAAAATCTTACAAACTCACCATTTGAGTCATTTTTAATTCCTTGCATGTGAGGAAACTGCGATTCTAGTGATTTTTCTTTTGCTGTTTGTACATGGGGTTTTCTTTTCCTCTCTTACATTTTAAGTGAGTGGATACAGGTGGTAACATGCTCTATAAAGAAAAATTATTTTTAAAAAGTAATCTGCTGAGGTTCATGATGCTCGTGATACCTTGAGCCAGCTGTGGTGCCAGAATTCATCAGGCACTGGCACATCTTGGTCAGCTTCACCATAGCTATCGGGAAGGTAGACCTCCTTCCTCGCCAAAGACCTAAATTGTATCTCTTAAAAAGACCTATAAAGTTTGGTAAGGCATTTCCTGAATAACTGTTTTCTTTAAACTCTTTTATCTTGTCTTCTTCAGAAATGTCTGAATATTGTTCAAGAGTTGTGTAAGAATGCTTTATTAATTTCTCTTTGCATAGCAATAAATTCAGTAGTTTACAAAGTTAAAAGATTCTAGGAGTCCAGATGTCATTTCAGCTATTTAATGCCTTTTCTCTGTATGGATGAGTTTGAATAATCATAAAAAATGGAACTGGTGTAGTATGATCCTATAAATAAAGATACAAGTAATCAACCTTACAGACCTGATTAGGTTATTTAGGCTCACTTTCTTTTCTGTGCACTAAACTTTTTCATACACAACTTCTTTTATTCTATTCTTTGAAAGAAATGGGAGATAGCTTTGGTAGCCAGGTTTGGGAATTTTTGGTCAGATTTCCCTAAACTGTTTTCAGACCTTAAAAGCAAGCTTTATAAATCTGATCATCTTCAGTGCCATCTAGTGGGCAACTATCCGAAGATTAACAGGACAAAAAAACCGTCAGTTTGCTTTTCACATTTGACAGTTATGAATATTAGTGAATAAAAAGTGTCAAACTTTGTGTTTTCTTGATCCCTTAAATTGCTGTTCCTCAAATAAACAGATGCTTAAACTTAAGGACAGACTTGCTGTACCTGAAGTGAAAACATGGATGTTTACGGGTCGGATGCACATCTGGGTGTTAGTCCTCCTGTTCAATCCAGGGGTGGTTCTAAAAATTAGATCCTAAGTAAAATAGCATCTTCTCTGCTAATGATCTTTACCTGGAATGCTTGCCTAGATTATACAATAACCAAAATATAAATACATCTCTTTCCAGGCTTGCCGATACGGACACGTCCAACATCTGGAGCATCTTCTCTTCTACGGCGCCGATATGTGTGCGCAGAACGCCTCGGGAAACACAGCGCTGCACATCTGTGCCCTGTACAACCAGGTGAGCTGGCTCACGCCTCCTCTGCCAGCAGACCCAGCACTGCAGGGTCCTACCATCCTCCTTCCGTGACATAAAGGTCTCTGGCGGAAGCTGAGGGGTGCCTGGGGTCCCCTCTGTGTGGCTAAATGGGAGGGATATCTTGCTTTGGGGGAAGATGGGTCCAGGGAATCCAGTCCCATGGAGACTGGAAACTCTGCTGTAAGAGAATGACATGTAGCCAGGAAAAAAAGGCATAATTGAGGTCCAAATGTTAAATCTTTCATGCCCATCCACAGAGATAGAGGCTTGTTGAGTTTTCTGTTGAAGAGGTTTACTGGTTTGGTGTTAGGTTTTCCTTAAATGCAGTTTCCTCACTTTTAATAAATGCATTTTGGGATAAATTTCCCATTATTATTGATTTGTAGTGGGAAGAAGAACATAGCTCATTATTTCTCATTTGTTTTATTTAATATGCAATGAATTATTGCAGGTTTTAAACAGTGGCCTTAGAAATTATAAAGAACATAATTAAAAACTATATTATTAGTATTTTATTCACTTATTACAAATAGGGCTGCTTATTGTAGGTAGCAAGAGTATACATATTAATTAGAAAATAAAACAACCCCGTGTTCTATGTGCTTACTTTTTTTTTGGTATCATATCTAAAGATTTGTTTCCTATTCAGAATTTAAATTAGAATTAAATAAGAAATACTTGGAAAATGTACCTGTAGATTATGCAGAAGATACCAGATTCTCTGCTCTTTACAGTTTGTGTAGTCATTTACAAATAATAGAACCATTTGATTTGATAGCATTTTATACTCTCTTTGCATGGGTGGGATGAAGAGGGAATTAATTTTACAACTATGTTAAAACACGGTGCATATAATGTTACATTGAATTAGGAAAACATGAGTCATGAGATGTGACTGTAACTAGTGAAACATCTGTTAAAGCATCTGCTTCTTAATTAATTGGCATCTTAGTTTTTTTTCAAAAGCCTTGTCAAGACAGATTCCTTAATTAGGTCTAAAATACCCTCAACTTTGTAAAAAATAGAATTTGGGGAATAATTTGACATTTTTCAAGACTGTTGACTTGATGTGCTTGTCATAATTGATATCAATTCATAAAGAGTCTAGCGGAACAAATCTTCCTCGTTAATGCTGACTGACTGAATTACACAGCATATCAGTGGGAGCAGTACCTCTGTGGACTGCTTCTTGCTCAATGTCTAGCAAGCATCTTCAACAGGCTGTCAAGAACCTACATTAACTAGTTGAAGGTTAGGATAGGGTTTCTGTGCTCAGTTTGGATGGCTTCTGTGACTGTAGGCACACAAAGCTTTTGCAAGTTGTTAAAATTCCTAGAAAATTTTGCAGAGAAATGAAATTCACTTTTATCTCAACAAAAATTTTGCATTTAGGCTTCACATCAAGAGCTTAACATGTGTAACTATAAGCACTTCTGTTGAAAAAAAAAAGAAAGAAAAAATTAAAAATATCAATTTTAACCTCAATTACTTCACTTTTCCTGGGTATGAATTTTGAAGCTTGGATCATAATGCACATATAAACTTAAAAACATGAACTCATCTCTTGTTTTTTTTAACCATTTTATTTCAGTGCTTTCATGGCTACAGCTGTTATCAAGATCATACACTTTTAGCAAATGTTATGCAGTAAGGTGCTGAAATTAGAATAATCCTGTAAGAATGACAGTATTTTTCATGTAGACATGTGTTTTCCTCCTGACCTCAGTGCAAAAGTTATTCTCTAGAAGACTTAGAGACTCTGATTGAATTGCATCTACAAATTTGCAGATATTTTCATAGTCATTAACCCTTGTGAATGGAAGTTTAACATCTTGTGACTACACTGTCGTGCTTCTGTTTTCCTTTATCAGGTGTATGTGAAAATAAAAAGTTTTTCTCAGGGTGCTGTGAACTGTAACCTTTGCTGACTTTTTTCAATGTCCCTTTTACTGAAAGATGTTATTAGCTAATTTGGAAGGAACATTGTTGGCCTTTTCTGGATGGAGAGGATGGGAAGGACAGCAGTATCCTTTTTACCTCTTGATTCCTGTAGATGGAGTCATTACCCATTTGATTATCCCTTCCAGTCCAGGGGAATTTTCTTGGGGTACTTTCTGAAGTTGGTAGTTCTGGTATACTGGATCAAAACCATTTAATAAATAAATAAATCACTTTGCATAGTTTTTCTTACACTGCAGGCAGCTTAGTTAAATTTGTAAATCATGTAGAGCGTTTTAAAATGTGTGATCCATTTGATTTTGTAGTGTTGAACTATTTTTTCTGATGACTAAGTAAATAATCAGCCAATAAATAGAGTATGTTTCTTGTTATCATTATTTATATCCTCAAATTCTTGATCAAAATTGGGCATTTTAATTTTAAAGGATTCTACTAATGTTTCCAGTATATTTACTGAGCAGCACCTGGTGTAATAGTGGAATGGTTGTTATTATGTTAATATAATATAGTGTGCAAACCTAGAATCATTTAGGAGTCAATCAGAAAGGAATTATTGGAAAAGTAAAAGAAACCCTGAAAAGAACTTTTCTTTTTTTTTACCTAGATTTTTTTTGTCTAGATTGCAGCACATTTACTTCTTTTGGGTGATTGCTACTACAGAACACAGAAAAATGAGAAAAACATTTTGACATTTTACACATTGCTCTTGATCTTCCTGTTTTTAGAAATACAGAGAACACACCTAATGTGTAGATTTCAGTGCAATCAAATGAGACTGTCTCAACTAATTATATATCATTAAAAAATTACTGTCTGGAGATATGATCCATTCTGTTTTTTCAGTCTGTCATACAGAATAGGAATTGTGGGAAAGAAAGGATATCTTTTTGGAGTATTGAATCTTGAGGTAAGGGTAGCATAGCCTCCTCCCCAGATATATTTAGGACAACCCTGTGATGGAGGAGACACAATGGCATCAAGAATCTGGGGTGATAAATTAGAAACCACAATGACAAAAATTATTTTTAATCATAATTTCTGTGCATTCACTGATGACTCAGAATCTAGTACATAAACTTCATTTCTGTCACTAAAATAGCTAAATTATATGATTGTTTTCTCTGGCTTCAAATTTACTGTTAAAAGTGAAAGGTAGCACATTGAAATACCTCATTAGGAAGAACTTCGTAGTGCAACATGACAAGAAATCTGGAAATCACAACAAAACTAATAGAAATATTTATGATGAGGAAAAACAGAAAAACATTTTGAAATATGAACTGCTTTGCACAAGGTCCTGAGATGAATGTTAAAGGTGACAAGTACAAAATATAGTCTAGATAAGGATCATCAAAAAGTTTGGTATTCTGAGAACTGTGACAGAACCGTGGAGGATTTCTAGGAGATTATGGTCAGTCATATTTTACAGCAGAGTAGAGTAGTGACTTAAGCAATCCACTGTATCAGTAAAAAAAAATACTGTTTTTAAGGAATTTTGTTTGCAGATTTCCTCAGTTTAGAGTTTCTCTTTTTAGAAGGGCTGTATTGGGTTTGTGCTGTAACTTAGTATTTTTAGGGAAAAAGAGAGAAGGTAAGACTGGTCAGTGCAGTGTGTACAGCCAGATCAAATAATTTCAGGCATACAAAAAAAAAATCATACATTAAATGTTTACAATTGAAGACAGGTTGAAAAAAACCCCAACAAAATAAGTGCATGCAAGTGGTAAAACTGCTTGGTTTAATTTTTGTCAGTAGGGGAGGATATCATTCATCCCAGGT